ATTGGATGACTTTCACAGTAAATGTATCTATTCATTTTATGATCTCATTAAGTGATAAATTAATGCATGCCCTACTTTGTTACAAATGAGATAATATTATACTTTATTTCAATCTTATTGTGTCTGGAATTGGTGGGTTCTTGGTCTCATTGACTTCAAGAATGAAGCTGCGGACCCTCGCTGTGAGTGTTACAGTTCTTAAAGATGGTGTGTCCGGAGTTTGTTCCTTCAGACGTTCAGATATATCTGGAGCTTCTTCCTTCTGGTGGGTTCGTGGTCTCACTGTCAGGAGTGAAGCTGCAGACCTTCGTGGTGACTGTTACAACTCTTAAAGACAGTGCATCTGGAGTTGTTCATTCTTCCTGGTGGGTTTGTGGTCTCACTGGCTTCAGGAGTGAAGCTACAGACCTTCGCAGTGAGTGTTACAGCTCATAACGGCAGCGTGAACCCAAAGAGTAAGCAGTAGCAAGATTTATTGCAAAGAGCAAGAGAACAAAACTTCCACACTCCAGAACGAGACCTGAAGGGGTTGCCACTGGCTGGCTCTGGCAGCGTGCTTTTATTCCCTTATCTGGCCCCACCCACATCCTGCTGATTGGTCCGTTTTACAGAGAGCTGATTGATCCACTTTACAGAGGGCCGATTGGTCCGTTTTGACAAAGTGCTGATTGGTGTATTTACAATCCTTGAGCTAGACACAGAGTCACAGAGTGCTGGTTAATTAGACACAGAGTTAGCTAGATACAGAGTACCAATTGGTGTATTTACAAACCTTGAGCTAGACACAGAGTGCTGATTGGTGCATTGACAATCCTTGAGCTAGACACAGAGTCACAGAGTGCTAGTCCTCCAAGTCTCCACTAGGTTAGCTAGATGCAGAGTACCAATTGGTGTATTCGCAAACCCTGAGCTAGACACAGAGTGCTGATTGGTGCATTTACAAACCTTGAGCTAGACAGAGTGCTGATTGGTGCATTTACAATCCTTGAGCTAGACACAGAGTTACAGAGTGCTAGTCCTCCAAGTCTCCACTTGGTTAGCTAGATACAGACTGCTGATTGGTGCACATAGGATCCTCCAGCTAGATATAAAAGTTCTCCAAGTCCCCATCCAGTTCAGGAGCCCAGCTGGCTTCAGCCAGTGGATCCTGCACCAGGGCTGCAGGTGGAGCCCAGTCGTGCCTGCACTCCTCAGCTCTTAGGCTGTGGATAGGACTGGGCGCCACAGAGCACAGGGCAGCACCAGTTGGGGAGGCTCAGGCTGTGTGGGAGCCCACCGCAGCAGGAGGGGCTCAGACATGGCAGGGCTGTAGGTCCTGAACCCTGCCCCACTGGGGAGGCAGCTAAACCCCATGAGAATTTGAGTGCAACGCTGGTGGGCCAGCACTGCTGGGGTACCCAGGGCAACCTCCACAGCTGCTGTCCCGGGTGCTAAGCCCCTCACTGCCCTGGGCCAGCAATGCCCACTGGCCACTCCATGTGCAGGGCCCACCAATCCTGCGCCCATGGCCGTGCCCGTCGGAACTCACACTGGTCCGCAAGCACGGCGCACAGCCCCGGTTCCCACTGGCGCCTCCCACTCCACACCTCCCGGCAAGCAGAGGAAGGAGGCTTCTGCCTCAGCCAGCCCAGAGAGGGGCTCCCATGGTGCCGTGGAGGGCTGAAGGGCTCCTCAAGTGCTGCCAGAGTGGAAACCGAGGCCGGAGGGGGCGCTGAGAGTGAGGGCTGCTAGCACTTTGTCACTTCTCATTATTAGACTTGATATCCGGATGTAGCCTGAGCCCTTCAGATCAAGATGAGATTGTTTGAAGTCTAATTTCATTCTTGGTTAGACGTTCAATGCTGTTCCAAAGATTTCCACAAATTCCCAAGGACCGAGTCTCATGGTCACTGTCAACTCCAGCTTCCACGGAAATGGCTAAGTCTATGGATGGTTTTACCATTGTGTGCCTTTTGACCCTTTCTACAACATTGAAGTTGACACCTGATTCATTTTTCATTCTCACGAACCATTTAAAGTATTGCACAACTTACTGAATAATTGTGTTTCATGGAGAAGGACTTTATATTGCAGAGACACAAATGATTTCAAATTGAGCACTATGAGTCATTATTCTGCATCCACTTACCACTGAGGTTTTCTAAATGACCACTTCCCTCTACAGGGTCCTCAACCTCACACACTTTTTCTCTCTCTGCCTTCCCAATCTCCTTCCTCGATTGCTACTCCACCCCCCTTTAAAATTCTCATTCTTTTCAGAAGCAGAATAAGTGGCCCTTCCATGTTACAAGATCTTCCTCTGAAGATGGTAGTCAGTTTTTTAGTGTTTTTTTTTTAAATTATGAATTACTTTTTATTATGAAAAATTTCAACATATAAAAATATGAATAGAACAATGAATACACAACACACCATCCAGATCTAGTAATACTAATATTTTGTCGTATTTGCTTCATCTGTATTTTTATAGATATTATGAAACTGTACTCTTAGCATCATCTTCAAAGAATGAGTACATTCTCTTACATAATCACCATGTGATTTCCACATCTGACATTTTAACATATTTCTTAATGTCATCTAATATCTAGTTCATTTTCAAATATCTCCACTTGTCTCCCAAGCAGTTGTGGTTTGAAACAGATTTTGTCTCAAACCTATATTTTAAAGAGCATCCTGTTGTGAAGCATCTTAATATGGTTGCATGCTTTTCCTGACGCTTCTCTTTCTACAAAGTAGAGACAAACACCAGTGGTCGAATGCTCTCTATTAAATTACCTGTTGCAGTAAATCAATACCATTAAAGTGGGGTCTCTATTTTACACAGCTGTTTAACCACATGAGATGGATGAACTCATTTGTTAAATTGGGATCTGTAAACAAAAACAAATGGGAGGAAGAGCAACAGAGACAATGAGTAATGGAAACACAGTTTCCAGACTGCAGAAGCCAGGGCTTTACTAGAAAATATCTGCAGCCCTGAGGAAAGGCTTTCGGGGTTCCTGTGACTGTTACCTAGCAACAAGCCCATCATGCAGGGCACAGTGGAGTCCAGTTTAACAGGGCTCAGGAAGAACACGTGGGCAACAGCACCAAATTTCTTCTTTTATGCTATGTTAATAACTCAGGTCCATGGCAGGCTCTTACAGGGGCGGGTGTCTGAAGAAATCATCCCTGAATAATGCTTTCCCCATGTTAAGCCCTTAAAGGAGAAAAATGGCTTTAGCTTAATTCACTGTGCACATGTCATTACTTATTTGTCCGTATATCCATCTGATAAGAGTTAAATATACCATATGAAAAAGAAAATCATCCAAGCTCAAATTAGTTTTGATGCATGGTGTAAGGCTCAGAGATCCATCCAAATTCATTCCTAATAGCAAATGAAGTCTGTATCACAGATTTAGTTATTATTAATTTTTTTTTACTTTAGAAATTGCTTTTAAGTAAATGACTGCATTTTTTTCAGATTTGCCCTCTTTCTTCTGTTAGGGTGTTAATCTGAGCTGACTGGATTGCTTTTCTGTCATCTGTTTTTGCGTAAGATTTGTCAGGGAAAAAGTTGTGTTTCCATAGTGCAGTATTTCAACAACGCAATTATACCAATGGTCTTTCTTTAGTAACAATATTCCCCTTTTAAAAATGCTCAAAATGCTTCTCTAATGTTGCTTCTCTTTACCTTTTAACTAAGTCAAGCTAAGACATGCATTAGCCAGAATCAGGACAGGAACCCAAATTTCTTGATCCCTGGTCTAGATTTTCATTGATTTAACTTTTTTTGTTTGTTTTTTTTCGAATATATTGAGGCTGTAGAAACTCATTTGCCTGGAATTATGTCCTGAAATCCCAAAGTTCTGCAGATAATGAACGTGGGACTTAGAACTTAGTTAAAAGGCCATTTTGGTCCAATTGTGTCCGGAGTTGGCTCCTGAGGGTGGGTTCGTGGTCTGGCTGACTTCAAGAAAGAAGCCCCAGACCTTGGTGGTGAGTACTACAGCTCTTAAATATGGCAGGGATCCAAAGAGTGAGCAGCAGCAAGGTTGTTGTGAAGTGGCAAAGAGCCAAAGTACAGAGCTTCTGTGGGACCCGAGCAGACTGCTGCTGCAGGCTAGTGCTGGCCAGCTTTTATTCCCTTGTTGTCCTCTCCCATGTTCTGTTTCTGTCCTGTTAGTGCCTTTTTTTCAATCCTCCCCACGACTGGCTACTTTTAGAATCCTGCTGATTGATGCATTTTACAGAGCACTGATTGGTGCATTTTACAGAGTGATGATTGGTGCATTTTACAATCCCCTTGTAAGGCAGGAAAGTTCCTGATTGGTGCATTTAACAATCCTCTTGTAAGAAAAGTTGCCCAAGTCCCCACTCTACCCGGGAAGTCCAAATGGCCTCACCTCTCACAATGGCTGTATTTCCATTTTTTTGGAAAAAATAATTTCTATTGATATTGAGGACACTCTAAGATTCCATAATAAGAGCAAACGTTTCTATATGACTTACTATTCTGTAGGGACTGTTCTAAGTTTTTTAAGTGAATTCTCATTTAATCCTCACAACAGTGCTGTGAGATAGACACTATCATGATCCTCATTTTATACATGAGGAAACTGAGCCACAGAGGGTTTAAATAACTTGCTCAAGGCTGTGGCGCTTGTATTTGAACCTAAGCAACATAGCTCCCAAGTCCATGCGCTTAACAACTATACCATCCTCTGCTTTTACATTGGTTATTTATTCATTCATTCATCCAATGAACCTTTTTGTTTTCTTCTCTTTTCTTTTTTGAGACTGAGTCTTGCTCTGTTGTCCAGGCTGGAGTGCAATGGCACAATCTTGGCTCACTGCAACTTCCACTTCCTGGGTTCAAGAGATTCTCCTGCCTCAGCCTCCCGAGTAGCTGGGACTACAGTCGTGTGCCACCATACCTGGCTAATTTATTTTTTATTTTTATTTTTTAGTAGAGACAAGGTTTCACCATGTTGGCCAGGCTGGTCTCAAACTGCTGACCTCGTGATCTGCCCGCCTCAGCGTCCCAAAGTGCTGGGATTACAGGTGTGAGCCACCATGCCCAGCCCATCTGACGAATCTTTGTTGTGAGCACTGGAAACTCGATGGCAAGAAACGGACACTGTCCCTGCCCTCAGAAGATTATCCTCAAGTCTGATGGATATAATAGCCCAATGCTATACAGGTGGTTGCTGTCTTGTGTCACCCTGTGTAGATGAAACTACTATAAACCTCCAGGTATGTCACTGCCAAATTTTCAAAGACTACACTTTTCATTGCAGATGTGACTCATTGTCTTAGTCTGTTTTTGTGTTGCTATAAGGGATTACCTGCAGCTGGACAATTTGTAAGGAAAAGAGGTTTATTTGGCACACAGCTTTGCAGACTATACAAGAAGCATGGCGCCAGCATCTACTTCTGGTGAGGGCTTCAGAAACTTCCACGCACAGCAGAGGGGGAAGGAGATCAGGCATCACCAGGCAAGAGAAGAAGCAAGAGATAAAAGGGAGGAGGTACCAGGCTTTTTTAAAACTGTCAATTCTCGTAGGAACTATTAGAGTGAGAACTCACTCACTACTGGGAGGACGGCACCAAGATGTTCATGTGGGATTTACCCCCATGATCAAAGCCCCTCCACCAGGCCCCACCTCCACCATGGGGGATTGCACTTCAACATGAGACTTGGTAGGACCAAACTGTATCCAAACCATAGCGCTCATCATCCGTTCATCCATCCATTAATTCATTTTTCACACATTTATTTGGCACATTTGCTATGCGTCAAATGCTGGGTCAAGGTACGTTGAGGGTACAGGGATGCCCAAGAACACTGCTGCAGAGAACACTGCTGTAGAGGATTCTCCAGCTGGTGGGTTAAGGAGCTGCCATCTCCTGCTTCTCTGCCTGTGGAGGAATAAATGTGCAATGGATATATGCAATTTTTTTGCTGTAGGATTTATAGGAATACTGCCTAGAAATACTTTTGCTCCAAACTCCTCTCAGGCAGGGCTCACACCTCCATGGAGCACTCAGCTACTAACTTATCGAAACCATTAGTACTCCCAATTGACACAACTCAGGGCCACCCTTTACAATCATCACTAACCAAAGAGCCACATGCTTCTGAGTGTTGTTTAATATGCTGTTGTAATATGGAAATAAGAGGCCTTGAGGGGTCCTGGGAGCCTGTGTGGGGGCTGTCAGTGTCCCATCCATATCCTTCTCCCTTCACCACTTTGGAGCCCTGGATTTCCAGCTGCCAGCACGTACATTTCTTCTCCCATAAGTGTTCTCTGGCTGCCATGGGATCCATGACTCCTGGGACGACTCAGCCAATTACAGATGGCGGGACCCTCGGAAGTGCATCTGCTACACCAGCTCCTGGATTTCCACAGCAGGTTAGAGCTGCGGGTACCTATAGTTGTAACTCACTTGACAAGGAACCCTTTGTTGTCTGCCATTCTGTTTCTGTCTTGCTTTCTGTCCTACAAGTGCTCTCTGAATCTCATATCAAATAAACTAATTGCACTTAAATCCTAGTCCTGGGGATTATTTCTGGGGCCCCAAACTAAGACTTGGGGCACAGTCTGAGTATTCGTATTCTAGCAGCTTGATGGGGTTCTTGTGCTGTTTGCATCAGCCCTATTCACTCACGTGGCCATCACAGGCAGCTCTGTTCCATGAAAGACCTTGTCTTTCTTGCAGAAAGCATCATGTCTTACTTTAAACAAAGACCAAGAACCCTAAACAGATGTAGATTTGCCTTTTAGAAGCTTTCATTCTCAATGACTCCCACCAAAACTTGACTTTCCTGTGTCTTTATTAACTCATTTCATTCTTTAAGGGCAGTGGCACGATCTTCGCTCACTGCAACCTCTGCTTCCCTGGTTCAAGTGATTCTCCTGCCCCAACCTCCCGAGTGAGTAGCTGGGATTACAGGCACCTGCCACCACGCCTGTCTAATTTTTGTATTTTTAGTAGAGACGGGGTTTCACCATGTTGGCCAGGCTGGTCTCAAACTCCTGACCTCAAGTGATCTGCCTGCTTTGGCCCGGCAAAGTGCTGAGATTCTGAATTTCATTCTTGATACACTGTTTTGAGAGTCCAGGGTGGTCTGATTATGAAGGGTTTCAGTGGGTTTGTTTTTAGTGCCCTTCGTCTTCAGGTTATAATAGTTTGGGAGGCAAAATCATTAAGAGTGTTATTGTTTTGTGATTTGCTCACAAATGAAATCAGTCTTGAGGTTACCTTCCCTGAGATGCCAGTGGTCTGAGGACACATCTCTCCCTACACGTCTACACATCTTCTATGATGGGAAAAAATTCTGCTGGGTTTAAGAAGCGACACTGAAATATTCCAGGACACATTGATATATTTTTTAACCAGAATGGTGTCAGTCTAGAGAAAAACTGAGATGTACTGTGTTAACATCAGTTAAATCAAGGAAGAAGGCAGGCATCTGAAGACAAATGATTGAAGGGTTAGCAGGAGGCAAAGTTTGCAGAGGGTAGGAGGAAAGCCGACAAAGGAGGAAGAGAGAGACGAGCAGGAGATAGGACCAAAAAACCCAGTTTTCTCTCTGCTTTGCTCTTCTGCATTTGGTCTCTGTGTTTGGAAAACAAAAGCGAAAGAGGAAAAGGCACAGACAATCAAATTTCCCCAAAGCAGAATGGATGGCAGTCCAGGACTCTGTGTGGAGCCTCATGCTTCATCCCCAGGGCACTTCAAGTGTTACAATAATGACTGCCCTCATAGCTGCACGATGGCTTTTGTTTCTTACCACATTTCACACAGGTTGATAATGTCAAAATTAGAGACTGTTTTGACTCTGGGTTTATTAAGTGGTTGCCTCAAGTTTCCTTGAAAATGAGAGGTAGCTGGCCGGGCGCAGTAGCTCATGCCTGTAATCCCAGCACTTTGGGATGCCGAGGCAGGTGACTCACCTGAGGTTAGGAGTTCGAGACCAGCCTGGCCAACACGGTGAAACCCTGTCTGTACTAAAAATACAAAAAATAGCTGGCCTTGTTGGTGGGCGCCTGTAATTCCAGCATCTCAGGAGGCTGAGGCAGGAGAATCGCTTGAACCCGGGAGGCGGAGGTTGCAGTGAGCTGAAGTCGCATCATTGCACTCCAGCCTAAGTGACAGAGCAAGATTTCATCTCAAGAAAAAAAAAAAAAAAAAAGAGGTAGCCAAGATTAGCATTTATTTGGGTTCTATTTTATAATTGCCTTCTTTTCTATATTTTGCTACCCCCCTTTTTTTCCCTCAGGGCTGAAAAGTGACAAAAGGAGTTTTATCACCCTACCTCTTTCAATACTATTTAACCAAAAAGTGAACTGTAGCAAAGCAAATGCTTTCCTGTTTTCAAATGTGCAGGCATCCTATCATCAACGGAAGTCAATTTCATCCGCCTGATGGGAAAACACCACATCCTTCATAAATGGAATCGCCCCCTCTGAAACTGACGTTCCACACAAGCAAATGACCAACTGTGCTGGCGCTGGTGCAGGATTAAAGATGATGATCCTATCTCATGTTCCTACCACCGCTCATCATTTCTAAGCCATCATCGTACAGAAACCACTTGATCTGCTTCTGATTCGAGTCTCTTCAGGGGTGGAAGCGTATTGGCCAGGGACACCAATAGCTCACAGCCCCTGCATGCCTGTGAGGAAGGAAACATCCAGCCCAGAGCCTGGGGTAAACTTTGCTCTGCAGAAATCGCCCTGAGATATTAAATGTCCACAAAGAGCAGATGGGAGCCTTGCTTCTCAGGGTTCTTCCTCCAAAGGCCTCTCACTTCCAGCATCTGGGGATTAGCCCTGACCCCCTCTGAAGGAGGAAAGGCTGAGTTGATTTTGTTTCTGTTCCGGTCGGAGGCTTTGCTCTGACTCAACTCAGAAGGGTGGGCCACAGCCTGGGTGGGAGCAGAAAGCTTCTCTTCATAGCCCTGCTGCTGGTGTGGGCTGCTCTTTTCACTCTCTGGACCTGTCTCCCCATCTGTGAAATGGGGCAAGGATGCTGACCGCAGACAAATCTTTGAGATTGAATTTCTGTGTTCAGGGCTTTGAAATCAAGAAGAAAAGGGATAATTTGATCATAAAGCATTGTTAGTATTTTGCACCCACTTCTGCCTGTACTCTATTTTCTCTGCTATAGAATCTTCTCCAGGGTTTCCTTCGGAAACTGTTGCTGCTGTCTGACAACACCCAAACGGCTCAGCCTCCGGCTTCCAGTGTCTCAGAAGGAGACTGTCCGTATAGCATGGACACAGCCTAGTTAGCTGCACCAAGAATTTTGCTCATTAATACATGAAAACTTGAAAACACACACAGAGTTAGTGATTTCCCATAAATACTGGGACAATTTCTGCTTTAGAATGAAAGCAAAAGACCTCCTTCACCTTATGTCCCATTACAATGTATGCGTGCTGGTCATTTTACCTTTCTGTAAGAAACCCAAGGGACAGAGGGGCCGGAGGCTGTGCTGCTCCCAGTGGCTGTGGTTCTTGGAATTTATGAGGTTGGAAGGCTGTCAGCTATTCAGAATCACAGAGCTCAGGGGCTGACAGCGACGGGAAGGGAGTCTCTTTACTATCACCTCTCATACATTGCCTCCATAAATAGCTCTTTTTATTATTATTTCTGCTGTTTGTAGATTTAGTTTATGGATGTGGTTAATCCTGCATCTGAATGTTAAGGGAATTACTATCCTTGTTAAGATTCTGACCTATTGGGGAGATTTGCTTAGGCTTTTTTTTTCCCCACAATAAACACATCTGGTAGATGGCAAGGGGCTCATTTTTCCCCAGATGCCCTGGTGAGTGTTTGGGGGGAGTGACTTTTCAGCACCAAAGACAGCATTGCCTCCAACAGTTAACGTGCTTTGATGTTGGCTGAGGAAGGTGATCATCCCTGCCTGTGCCTGATGGGGGGCGGAGGGGAGCCCTGCTGCAGCGCGGTTCTGTGCTGTCTTCTGCAGGCTGTTTCTGGGCGTCTATTCTCCAAGAACAATGACGGGGCTGCAAAGACAAATCCCAAAGCCGAGAGGGGCCAAGTGCATGGGGGTGTGCCCAAACCAACACCCCACAAAGCCACTGTCAGTGCCCATCACCTGCTGAGTGATAGACACATCCTCTTCTTGTCCCAGGGAGGCAGGTCTCTGTGTAGAGTGGTGACCAGCTGCGGTGTGAGGGCTTCACTGGGCTCTTGGTCAGAGTAGTGCCAGGCAAGGTGTGGGGATCAAAGACTGAATTCCTGAATGAGGTTGATTTGATCCTTAGGACTATGTCAGTCATTTGAAGAGGCAGTTTTGGAAGGATGAGGTACTCGCCTAGTAATCAAAATCCTGACTGACTACTCCCAATGCTCTTAATAACAGTATTCCATAGAATCACGGGGACAGGGCCAAGACATGCGTGTCTGTGCATGTTTGTGTGCTGGTGTGCGCATGTGTGTGTTATATGGACTTGTGTGCATGTGTGTATGGGTGTGTGCACCTGCCTGTGCGTGTGTACACGTGTGTAGGTGTGTGCACATGCATATATGTGCATGTGTGTGCCGGTGTGTGAGATTTCTCAGCCAGAGCTCTTTTCTGCCGTGTATCTAACAGCCTACACCTCCTCCCTACTGGAGCGTCCATAGGCACCGTCAGCACGATAACCTCAAAACCCATTCCATGTTGTTTTGCTTTAAATCTGTTCTTCCTTTCCCTTTTTTCAGAAAACCATATGCTCACTTGTCCAAACCAGAAACATTGATGTTTGTCTTATGTCCTCTTCTCCCCTTTTCCTCAGCTCACATCCATTAAATCACCACGGCATTTGGATTTTGACTTACAAATCTCTCAAATCCTTCTGCTGTTCTCTGTTCCAGTTGCCATCACCCCATCTCAGGCTATGATTTTCTCCTAACCTGGATTACTACAAAAGTTCCCTAAAGGGTATGCTTGTCTCTAACCGGGACCCCCTATCCATTTACCTTGTGCAATAAAGAATGGCCCTTAGGCATAATACCGCCTTCATCAGCTCCCCATCACCTTCAAACAAGGGTCAGACTGGATTACATGATCTAGAAGGACCTCTGTGGTCTGTTTCCTGCCACTTTCTCCTGTAAGCACCAATGCACCAGCCATGTGCCATTTTGAATTACTTGTAGTTCCCAGACCACTCTCTCTTCTATGGGCCATTGTGTGTGTTTCTCTTTCTATTCAGAATAATTTCCCCCTCTCTATCCATAATTCTAATTCAGCATTCACTTCTTGGCTTAGATGCTACCTCCTTCAAGAAGCTAATTTTGCCCAAAGATTGAGCAAAATACCCCTCCATTACACTCCCAAGACGCCTCGTGCTTTACCCCACAGAGCTGTGTTGTGCTGTGCTGTGCTGTGCTGGGACTGCCTATTGACTCATGGGTCTCCCAGATGATGACTTTCTTGAGAGTAGTAGACACTGTTATTTTATTCTCAACATAAAGTTTCAAGCAAGTAGTCAGTATTCCCTTGCTTGCTTTATAAAAACATACATGAGTCTTTTTACACCCAGTTCAATGGTTTTCAACAGTACTGTTTCCCTTCCTCTATTTTTCCTATGTTATTCTAAACACAGTATTTTGCTGTTCAAGTAAATGCATCTGCATAGACCCACAGTTTTGTACCCTGCACAAAACTGTGATTCACCTTGCTCAACAAGAAAATAAGTTGCTAATGCAGTTGGGGCAGTAGTATTAGCAACAACAGTGGATAGTCAATGTTTGTTGAGCACTTACTGTATGCCATCCAGTGTCCTAAGCTTACCGTATGCCGTCCGGTGTCCTAAGCTTACGTGTGTCAGTTCACTTAATTATCACCAGAACCCTATGGAGGAGGTACTATTAATGCCCTAATTTCAAAGATAAGTTAACCAAGGTATAGTTGAGTGAAGTTTATTCCATAACTAGGAAGTGGTAGAGTTAGGATGCAAGCCCAGGCGGACTGACTTTAGAATCAGACTTTTAATCATTAAGCTCTGTTTTGCAGAGTTGAAATTGAGCTAAAATACGATGTTGTGAATGTTTCCTCCCGGGAAATTTTTCTAGTGACAATCAAATAGTCCCACTGGACCTGTGTTATTAACAATGTATAAGATGCACTGGGTTTCAAGGATTTCTCCCTCTTGGGGAAATTTTCACTTTCCTCCAAGGACTCAGGAACCGGAGAGCCAGGTGTCTCCCATAAACAAAGCCTTCTCAGGCGCATCCAGGATGGGCGTCCGCCAGAGTGGAAAGGGCTCTCACTCTTTCTGGCCGCAACCCTTCCAACGGGCTTTATCCCTGTCCGGGAGTACTGTGTAAGTATTGTAAGTGTAGTTTATTGGGTATGAAGATAGAAGTGAGAATTTATCTATTTACCACCAAAGGCATTAGCTCAACATGCTAAGCACAAGTTGGGATGTGAGACAGTACCCCAAGAAAAACTGCCTGAAACACTCAGAGACCAGGCTACCAGGGGTGGGTGACCGCATGGGAGGATGGAGAGGGCGTCACAGTGAGTCCAGTCTTCTGGCTGCCACAGCCACACTCATGTGAGGGTACAGAGGCGCTGAGCTGGTCACTCCAAGTGGGAGTGCTCTCTGCATGACTTCCACCTGGAGATTGCTGGGGAGTTCTGCTGCCTGGCCATCTGCCTGTGAGCTGAAAGCCTGGCGTGGAGATATCCTGCCTCCTCTAACAATCCCTTCCTTCACCAGTACCAAGCTACTTTTCTCTCTTCCTCCCTCTTCATTTCTTTGGTGCTCAGAGACATGAGGTATGAGGAAAGGAGGAAGCAAGCAGGCTTCCTAAAGAAGCCACAACCAGGCCAAGCACGGTGGCTCACACCTGTAATCCCAGCATTTTGGGAGGCCGAAGCAGGCAGATCACCTGAGGTCAGGAGTTTGAGACCAGCCTGGCCAATATGGCAAAACGGTGTCTCCACTAAAAATTCAAAAATTAGCCGGGCATGGTGGCGCATGCCCGTAATCCCAGCTACTCAGGAAGCTGAGGCACAAGAATCACTTGAACCTGGGAGACAGAGGTTGCAGTGAGCTGAGATCATGCCATTGCAGTCCAGCCTGGGCAACATCTATCTCAGAAAAAAAAAAAAAAAAAAAAAAAAAAAAAAAAAAACAAGCCACAACCTTCTGTCTGCGCTCAAGGTTGAGACCTCCCTACTCCCGAGGTAACAACTCTGACTGCTCTGGAGGAAAGATTAAAAGTCCTGATTGGAATTTCAAAATTTTAATCAGTGGGTCCCACTTAAATAGAAACTACTAGACTGATTTCTGGAGCTTTAAATGCCAAAGTGTGGGGCCGATATTTCTACCAGGGAAAGATGGTTTCCAAATGAGGCATCTGGTGTCTGAGCACACACGAGCATATGTGTTTACTGTGTCCAGATAAGTCAACAACTTTACTGAGCACCTACCCTGTGCCCAGAACTCAACTGAATCCACTCTGAGTGTTTGGCAGCAGGGATACATATGTTTGCCTCTAGCCTAGTGACAGCAGCACAGCAGAAGGGAAGAGAAGGCACTCTTGTTGAGAAATGTGTCTGAAAGATTTCTTCCAGTACGACCACTTTTACAGCTTATAGGCGAAGCTGCTTCATTTGGTGTACTTTTGTTGTAAGTATTACTTCTTCCCCTCCATAGATGAGCCAGTGGGGCTAATAGCACATGCAAATGG